TTCGTCCCTTTTGATCCTTAGATTGATCACACATTTAGACGTCTTAGGAGATCACAATTAATTTCTTAAGCACCAGTCGAGATGGCTAACCCTATTTCCCTTACCATGAAACCAATTAGGGATTATGTCAATCCTTCAGCTGAAGAGATTCACATGAGCATTAACTATCCTGTGGTTGAAGCTAACACTTTCAAACTGTGTCCGACCATAATTCAGATGATTCAAAACAACTATTTCTCTTATTTTATTTTCAATTATTTCCTATTTCTTTTATTTTATTTCGCATATTGTGTGTTGCGTTTGCATGCTAGTGTGTTGACTGACTTGTGTGAGTCGGTCTGATTGTTTGTTGCATACTTTTAATTTGTCTTGTTTATGTTTAGGTGAGCTAAATGTCACCTCTCAAAAGAGCTCTTAGGGGTGGTGGACAGCTCATGACTTAAATACTGTTTTTCGGTCCTACACCTAGCCGATGTGAGACTTTTTGTCCATGACATAAAGCTGACTTCATCCCTTTTAATCCTTATATCGATCACACATTTAGACGTCTTAGGAAATCACAATTAATTTCTGAAGCACCAACCGAGATGGTTAACCCTAATTCCCCTTCCATGAAACCAATTAGGCATTATGCCAATCCTTTTATTGAAGAGACTCACATTAGCATTAACTATCCTGTGGTTGAGGCTAACACTTTCGAATTGCGTCTGACCATAATTTAAATGATTCAAAACAACTAGTTTGGGGTCTTGCCGCTGAAGACCCCACTGTTCATTTGACCAATTTTTTGAACTATGTGCCACCTCCAGGTACAACGGTGTCCCCAACTATGCCGTTAGACTGAGGCTCTTTTCTTTCTCCTTGAGGGATAAGCTTAAGTTATAACTTAATTCCCTTGCCCCAGAATCAATCACGACTTGTAATGATTTGACCCAAAAATTTCTTGACAAATATTTTCCTCCATCCTAAACTGCAAAATTTAGAAACGACATCACCTCATTTAACCAAATTGATGGAGAGTTTATTCATGAGGCTTGGGAGAGATTCAAAAACTTGCTTAGGAGGTATCTACATCATGCCTTGCCTGATTGACTAATCATTCAGATGTTTCACAATGGATTGGTAGATTTGTTGAGATCGATCATCGATGTTGCGGCAGGAGGATCCCTCATGTCTAAACCTTTTGAGGAAGTGTACCAACTAATAGAAAAAATGACCATCAATAATTTTCAATAGCCCGCTGTCGGCCGTTTTATTGTCCAACCTTCGTGATTTGAAAAAGAGTGATGATTTTGGGATTTTGAAAATAATTTAAATATAAATATAACTTTTTTAAAGTAGTAATGTTTTTTAATTTTTAAAATAAGTGAGACCAAACGAGTCTCACATTTTTAAATAGTTTAGATGATTTAATACAATACTACAAGCAATACACTTATCCCGAAGAATAAATATATTACTTGTAATAGGGATTTAATCATCTAGACTAAACAATTTGTGACATCCGTTTTGATCTGCGAAATATTTTATAAAAAGGCCAACAAGTTCCCCTATCTAACATAAAAATTAGATAGGGTTTATTTTATCTGGGTTCCTGGTTCCCTATAGAGGCAAGCCCCTATAGTTAATTACATCTTAAATGATCGAAATCACTTAAGATAACTCTCGATTAAGATCAGGTGGTTTCGCTTTCAAGATTTCAAAGTTTAGGTTTTCACGATTAGACATAAGAAAGTCAAATGGGAATGGCTCAAAATGTGAACAATTATTTAAGGAATTCAAATGAAAGAAAAGTAGGGGATATCACAGATC